TAGTAATCTGTTATGACAGGTATCATGTCTTTTGTCAGCATCTAGCAAGGAATTTAGCGATTCTGTTAGAAATGTTGTCATGAATTGTAGCACATTTGTGCCTATATAAGAAGAGTGCTGTAACGAAAATGGTATGGATGAAAAATTGCAAATTCTCTACTCATTTCTCTTTATTTTCTTTATTTATCTTCTGGTCTACTTTCTTATTTTTCTTCTTATTTGGTTCATTACGTCACAATCATTTTGTGAGAGCTTGTCTGGTTCATATCTCTTTTTATTTTATTTTATTTTTATTTTTAGTATTTTGGATTAAAATAGGTTGTGCTTGCAATGCTGGCGTTAGGGTATTAATTTCTGGGCTTTATTATGAATGTTAGTGTAGGTTTTATGACGTTAGTAGGGTTTTAGTTGTTTTGAAAATTGAGGCCCAAACCTTTTATTCAATGGCATTCAATTCTTTTGTCTTCTTGAGATTTTTTGTGATTCCCTGTTCTTTGTTTTGTTTTATCAGAAAATTTTGATGACTTTTTTTAAGTCGGTCAGAGGATTATAGTTTCTTTTGAACAACGGCATTCTTATTGTTAAACAATCTGAAGTAGGGGTTAGTTTTATTATCATGTTAAATACTAATGCTGTGTGGTATGGGCTACTGGCATACGTTTTACAGGACGGGCACAATTCGGAAGAGTCAAAGCAAAACACTGCTGATATGACTGTTTTTGTGAGTCCCTCAATCTTTTAATAACATGAATAATAAATAATAACTGCTTTCAATGTATGCTGTTTTCCTAGTATCATTAGGGCATAACCACAGCTAATTTTGATTTTTAGTCTCAACTTTCAGGTTGCCAAGTTGTGCGTGGACCATAAGTCTCTAATGAATATAATTCAGAAATTATTTGATGTGCCTTTCTTATATAAGTCTTTAGTTACCGATTTCTTTGACTGATTTTTGAAAGTGCAAAAATCTTCTTCTATGAGTTACAATTGGATCCTCTGTTGTTGGAATATACCTATGCTTTGCAGCAATCCAGGTTTCAAACAATGTCTGACTGCATTATGACAAAGAATATCCTTTTCACATGTTTTTAGATTTGATTAAAATATGTTTTTTTTTTTTTTTTTTTCTTTTGTGTAAGATAGCAACATTATCAAATATATGGAATGTTGCTGAGTTGCTTATTGGATGTATTATAGCATTACTTAAACGGAAATAGTTAGTTACTTTCTTACTTTAGTAGTATTGAAGTGTGGGACATCTATTGTTTACTTAACTCCAAAGCGCTTGATGAGATGGGAAGCCCTGTAAATGAGCTGGAGCAAAGCATTAATTACCTAAAAGCCAAGTTGGAAGTGGATGTCTCTCCATAGCCCATTCCCTTTAGCTCCATCAAAGAAAAAGTTGGATAAAGCAAAGCAAGAGGAAGAAGGCTCAGCATAAAACTTGGCCAAAGAGTGTTATTATCAGCTGATTATTATTGTTTGAGAGTACTATCGGCAACAGAATATTGTATGATCAATCTATCTTCTATAACTGAAGTGAAACTGATTGAAACGTGAACGTAAAATTCTAAAACAGCCAATTAAAGGACAAAGAAACATAAAAGCTTAAATGATAATATATCTTTGAATTTATTTAATAACATAGATTCTCTACCTCACCAGAGGGAAGCTTCATATTCTAACTTTATCCACTTTATTGCTATATGTTTTTCTATCCTACAAATGAGACAGAAGATAACGGAACCTTAACCACGGCAACGAGTAATGTCGCTGCAGCCTTGGTTGTAAGGGTTAGGTTCTGCTCTTGGCTGACAGTTACCGTTGGATGCACCCCTTCTAGAGCATAGCACCGTGTTCTTCTGAAGAGCTCCATAGCTTATGTACGGGGTGGCTTGCAACATGCGCCTGCTGCTAATCTCTGTATCCATGTTAAACTCACGGTTAGCAATGCACTCAGCCATCGAGCCCTGGCAGATAGATTTGGTCGGCTCGAAGCTCAAGTTGTGTTCACCACTTGAATCGACGGTTGACAAGGCAATGATCAGTTGCGTGGACGAGGGAAACGGCCAAGAGAAAACCAGAGGAATTAGCCATATTTAAAGCTACTAATGAAAGAGTTGGAAGAATTACATTGACTAACTCTGTATTTATCAAAATGCCACTTCATTTGGCCTCAGTATTACTTTTTTTCCCTTTCCAAATTTCTATTTTTTCATTCCAAAATTAATGAATATGAGGTGGTTTGTTGTTAACATTCCTTCACTTATCTTTGTGTAATAGCGATAGGTTTGTTCATTAAACTTGACTAGTGGATATGTAGTTTACATCTTTGTCGACCATCCTTATGGATGAGTATCTGATAACCATAATCCTTAATCCGTGTAGACAATCCCAAATGCATCAGTTTTGGTACTTGAAAATGCTATATGAACTTAAGATGATTTGTTATAGTTCATCCAGAAATAAATTTTTTGAGAATATGTTGTCATAATACAATTTGAATTCAATAGATGGTGCTTCAAGTAATCTTGACTTATTAGAAATTGTTTTTCATCTTATTAGAAAAAGACCCTATTTATGTCAACGTCTTAACGTGACTTCTTGATCTTAGTTATTCGCTCAAGTAGTATATTTGTACCAAGGTTGAAAAAGATATAAAAAATCGATTTGAAGTTTAAATTGATTTTTTATTCAGTTTAATTTAATTTTAAATTTTAAATATTTTTATTAGGTTTAAATTGATTTTTGAATTGAAAAATAAAAAATAAAAAATTTTGAATCGAACCAAATTATATATTTTTTAAATTTTTATAAAATAAAATAATTTTTGATATCTAAATCTATTTAAATATATTAAAAATTATATTGAAATAATATAACGAATAAAAAATAATGGACTTCAAAGAAATGTCAGTTTGAATTTAGTTCGTATTTTAAAATTTTATAATATTATATATTAATTAAAAAAATCAATTGAATTTAATCTAATTTGTTATCACGTAAATAGAGATTTTTTTTTTCAATTGACTGTAATGTGACAGTTGGCATGTAACACCATAGTTATATGCCACAGGGTAACTTTGCTAACATGATAATTCATGTGGCATATAATGTGTTACTTTTAGAGAGTGTTTGGTATGGGGTGATTTGTTTAAAAATCATGATAATCTGTATTTAATATTATATTACAGTAATAATTTAAAAATTTTATGTGACAGTGATTTTAAATAATTAAGGTGATAAATTTATTATCTTAAGGGGTGATGAGACTTCGTACCTAAAGGATGAGAAAGTTTTATCATCATGATAAAATAATTTTTAATATTATTTTTTTGACTACTTTGTCCTAATGAAAGATGTACCTAGCATTGCCTTAGCTAAATTAACTAGTAAAAATTTTCAAAAATCTATTTTTTAATAGCTTATTTAAAAAAAAGTTTCTATTACAATTGAATAAATATTTATTAATTATAAAAATAATGAAATTATTTAATAATTTTTTTAGAAATTATATTTCATCAAAATTGATTTTTATTTATAGTTTTCTATAAAATAATATTTAAGTATTTTATAAATTATCAATTCAACAAATATTAATTTTTTTTATTTTGTTTTTATAAGATTATTTTGGATATTTTATAATTTATTTTTTTATATAGCACAAAATACAATGATTTAAGACGTGAATTATAATATTATACCAAATATAATAATTTAAGATCATTGATAATCAAATTATTTTGATGATTTTATTACTATGATAATTAGATCAGTACAATAATTTTAAAAATGATACCAAACATTACTTTAATGATGTTGTAAATCAAGTGATTACATATTTTTTTATTATAATATTGTGATAAATTAATTTAAAATAAAAATAAAAATATTGTTATCCCCGTAGTTATATATGTGCGTTTATAACTATTATTTTTTGTCATTCGCCATATAAATAAATTTGGTTCTATTTGAGAAAACAGAGTTAGCATGGGATTATATTGAATTATTGATGTCTAATAATTTAACAAATAAGGTGAATTTATTCCATATTGAAAAGTCTTACTTATTACTGAGTATACAAATCAATAAATAATGTGATAGCCATGGGTTTTTATTATGGTAGTCGGAGATAGTGAACTGCCATCAACAAATAAAAAGGTTGATGATTCGAATTTTTTATTTTTTTATTTTTTATATTGCGAATCATCAACCTTCTCATTTATTCAAACTTTGTTAGTTCAAAGACTATAACTGGCTTAGAGGTCTGGGCTGGCCAGAATTTGGGTGTTTCTTCAATTGAATTTACTTTGATAAAAGTTGGATGTTTTGCTAGAGAAAAGACTTTTATAAAACAGAGGCACATGCTTTGAAATAAGACCATGCATCTAAAGAAGCATATGCACTCTGTTACTAGTGATCATTTGATCAATCAATAAATAATAGAGCTTTGAGATTATGTGATTGATTGAGCAATATAGAGGCCCTCTTTTCTCATCATTTTATCCATCATAACACAATTATGTGCTCATTTTTATGCAGTCCATGCTCTAATAAACTCTCTCTCAGTGAAAGTATCATGTATGTCTGTGAAAAAAAATGCTATCAGTTTCTCTAATTTCTTGATGTCAACTTGTGTGTGTATTTTACTGTATAATTATCATTATCCATCTCAACTGAAGTTATGCATTTCTTTTATATAAACTTATCTTGGCCTCTACCCTCTTTTCGTCATTGTAGTACGTAATTATATCTTCAAAGTCTTGGCTGTGTTTGTTTTGGATGTGCTTTGAAGTAAATTGAATGTAAAATTCTAAAACAGCAAATTAAAGGACAAAGAAACATATAAGATTAAATGATAATATATCTTGGAATTTTTTTATAACATAGATTCTCTACCTCACCAGATGGGAGCTTCATATGCTAACTATATTCACTTTATTGCTATATATATTTCTATCTTCCAAATGAGATAGCAAAAAAAAAAAAAAAAACGAACCTTAACCACGGCAACGAGTAATTTCGCTGCAGCCTCGGTTGTAAGGGTTAGCTTCTGCTCTTGGTTGACAGTTCTCGTTGGATACACCCCTTCGAGAGCATGGCACGGTGTTCTTCTCAAGAGCTCCATAACTTATGGATGGGGTGGTTTGCAACATGCACCTGCTGCTAATCTCGGAATCTACGTTAAACTCATCGTTACCCATGCATTCAGCCATCGAGCCCTGGCAGCCAGACTTGTTCGGCACCAAGCTCAGGTTGTGCTCACCACTTGCGTCGACGGTTGACAAGGCAATGATTGGAGTTGCGAGGACTAGGGAAATGGTCAGGAGAAAACCAGAGGGATTAGCCATTTTTTTCACTGATTTGAGAAATTATTATATAAACCTGTTCTATTTACATGCGAAAACCTTCGATTAATTAAGGAAAGAATATCTTATAACATCATAATCTAACGTTATTTTGATATTATTCTAATTATAATATTATAGGAATATGTCATATTTAGTATAGAAGATATAATAAGATAAGATTAAATAATATTATAAATAAAATTAAATAAAATAATATCATCCTATTTTGTGTTTGATGTATACAAAATTTAAAATAGGATAATTTAGTTATTTGTCAAAATTATTTTTATTCAAAGTTTATACAATTTAAATTATTGATATAATTTTTAAGGGTATAATTAGACATGTAAATTTAATTTCATTGATTAAAAATAATATTCTCCACTTAAGAAAGATTGAATAATCCTATACCAAGATGATATTAATTCTCTTTGCAATCTTTATCCCTCTCCTTACATACAAATAAAACATAATATAAGATAATTATTATTTTATCTTATTAGTAATCCTATATATCAAATATGACCTTAATGCACAAGATTATAAATAGGGTATGATATAATTAGATTAGATAGTATCATCTTATTTTATATTTAATATTCATAAGGATTAAGAGTGTGATATGATAATTTTTATTTTCCACCATGTTTATTATGTGTAAGATTAAGTGTAGAATAAAATGATTTTTTATTAATTAAAATTACTTTTCTTTAAAATAAAAATAATTTAAATTTACAATTTTTACGTAAAAGCAATTAAAAATTTTAACTGAAAATAGATATTCTATGATATTCTATAGGTAAGAGTTAAATTTATTTTTTTTGAAACTTTTCTTTATTAAAAAATCAATCATTTTAAAAAATTAAATTATTTTTTAACAAACTATTTTTTAAATTTAATTTTTATCAAAAATATATTTTTTAACTTTTTTTTCCTTTTTCATTTGTTTTCTTTCTTTTATCGTTAAAATTTAAAATAATTTATGTGATTGAGACCTAAAAATTTTTTTTAAAATGATTTTCCAAAATAATATTTGATTTTTTTTCATAAAACAAAATTATCATAAATATATTTTTATCTATTTATTTTTCTCTCATTTTTTTTTACTCTCCCTCTCAATAAGAGGGAAATAGAAAAAGGAGAAAAATGAAAAAAATGAAAAAAAAAAGAAGAAAAAACTATTTAAATTTAATAATTCAAAAATATTAAATAAAAATATTTAATTTAGAATAATTTATGGTTAAGAGTTAAAACTTTTTCTAAAAAATAATTTTTAAAATGTGAATATTTACAAAAAAAAAAAAGTAAATTGATTTTTCAAAAAAATTAGGAAATTATTTTTATGAAAACTATATTTTCTATTATTCAAAATAAAAGAAAAGAGGGAAAAGTGAAAAAGAAAAAATAAAGAAAGAAAATGAGAGAAAGACAAAAAAAAAAAAAAGAAGAAAAAGGAGAAAAATAGTTTAGGTTAATTAGTTAAAAAAGGACATTTGTAAACTTATTAAATTTTAAATGTAAATTTTAACAATAAAATAAGTAATTTATAAATAATTATCATTTTACTACAAAATTAAAAATAATTTTCTTAATTTTAAAAGATAGAATCATCATTGTACGAAGAGTATTAAACTTCTTAGCAATTTAATGTTGTTCTCTATGAGTGCATCAAATATATAATAAAATAATAATTCTATAAACATACTCATAATTTTTAATATCAATCGTATCATCATCCTAAACATTATCGTAATCTTACACGATATTAAAGCTACTAATAAAAGAGTTGGAAGAATGACATTGACTAATTCTGTACTTATCAAATTTTTACTTTTCATAACACCGTAGTTATCTGCAAAGAAAAAATAATTATTAAATGAGAAAAAAAAAGCAAGAAAATAACATTTGAAGGAAAGCTTCAAAATATGGCAATTTAAAATTTTTCTAATTTTGAATATAATAATAAAAAAAGGCTAAATTTGAACATTATGTTTTTTTATTGGCCTACCCTAATAATTTTCATTGTTCTGACAAAATAAAAAGGTTGCATTTTATTCTTTAAATTTATATGGGGAGCAAGATTACAATTTAAACAAAATGAATAATTATCATTGTTGTAATGGTTTTGTGTTCGTCTGACGAATTTGGAAACGAAAATAAAAAAATAAAAAATGGAGTCACCACCAATATTTTTTGACTAGGTGCGATTGGCCACCTATTAAAACATATCATTTTAATGAAATTTTAAAATTAATTAAAATTTATTAAAAAGATAATTTCATGGTCTGCGAAACAATCTGAGTTCGGGAGTCGGTTACGCATGGAGAAAGATTAGCACCCCCACGACGCCCGTTTAAAAACTATACCACTTAACTACTTGTTATCTTTTGATTTTGATTAAAAATAGTCTCATTCCTAGTGTTTGGAAAAATAATTTTCTTAATTTTTTTATTTATTGGAAATTGGTTTGTTTTGTTTTATTTAAAAAAAATTATTATTCAAATTTTATTCGAGCAAAATAAATTAGAACCTTTTTATTGAAATAATTCTTAAAATGTTCCAGCACGTTGGTAACATTAGAAGAATTTTTTCTCACCTAGAGATTTTTTAGGCATCGCTTCTCGGAATACCTTAGAATCTTATCTTAAGAGGTCCAAATTTACTTTTCGTAAAAATTATGTCATGTATGCAATGCATAATGTTATCATGTTGATGCACACATTTTATTCTCTTTTTTTTTTAGAAAATTTATTAATTATTATTCTCTTTTTTTTTTTTTAAGAAAAATGAAACTTTTGTTATATTGAAGATTTTATATAAATATTTCAATACACTGGTAATAGTTTAAAAAAATCCTCTCACTTAGGGATTTCTTAAAGCATCTCTATTCAAAATACTTTTAGAATCCTGTCATCGGATAAAATTTTCTTTTTGTCTCATTTTTTATTAATTATTCTTAATTTATTAATTAGTTTTTATTTATTATTATTTTATAAGAAAAAAAGAAAATTTTTATATAAATACTCTAATACGCTAGTAATATTTAAAAAAATCTTCTCACCTAGAGATTTCATAGGCATCACTACTTGGAATACCTTTGAATCTCATCGTCAGATAAAAATTTTCTTTTCTTGCATTTTTATTATTTTGGTATTATTATTAAGTGTATTTTTATTTTATTTTGTTTTTAAAGTTTATTTTTTTAAAAAAAATTAACAAAATTAACAAAATTTTAATTACAATTTCATCATTTAATCTAATAAATATGAATATTTTAATAGGCATAAATTTTAATAAAATAATATATAAAAAATAAGAAAAAATTCTAAAAGATCAAAAAAATTTAAAAAAAGAGAATAAAATGTGTGCATCAACATGATAATATTCTGCATTGCATACATGGCATAATTTTTACGAAAAGTAAATTCGAACCTTTTAAGGTATTCTGAGAAGCAATATCTAACAAATCTTTAAGTGAGAAAAAATTCTTCTAATGTTACCAACGTACTGAAACATTTTAAGAATTATTTCAATAAAAAGGTTCTAATTTATTTTTCTCAAATAAAATTTGAATAATAATTTTTTTAAAATAAAACAAAACAAACCAATTTCCAATAAATAAAAAAATTAAGAAAATTATTTTTCCAAACACTGAGAATGAGACTATTTTTAATCAAAATCAAAGGATAATATGTAGTTAAGTGGTACCACTTTTAAACGGGTGTCGTGGGGGTGCTAATCATTTCCCATGCGTTAACCGACTCCCGAACCCAAACTGTTTCGCAAACCATGAAATTATCTTTTTAATAAATTTTAATTAATTTTAAGATTTCATTAAAAAGATATGTTTTAATAGGTGGCCAATCGCACCTAGCCAAAAAAGATTGGTGGCGATTCCATTTTTCGTTCTTTTATTTTCGTTTCCAAATTCGTTGGGCAGACACAAAATCGTTACGATAGCTTGGTGACTCCGCTGGAGATTGCCTTTTATTTTCGAGAGTCAAGCCAAAATTAACTACTTGTTATCCTTAAATTTTGATTTAAACAGTTTTAATCAATTTTCGTAGATTTTTATTTTTCATTTTTAATAAAAAAGGTAAAAAAAAAACAAATCGAAAATAAAAAGCAAAAAAATTCACACACATTTCTTTTACTATTCCTTTTATTTTTTATTTTTGTATATATTACTCCCAATAAATTAGGATATATTTGCACACAATGACACGATGCATTTCATGCATGAGCTCTATACCCAGACTCCGTCTTTTGTAGGAAGAAGTAAAGTACCTTTGCCCTCGTGAGGTGATAACCTCTGCAATGACAAGCGAAATACTTCTACTCGAATTGAACCCTTTCTATTCGTAGCCTGTAATGGGTGAGGATCGGGGTGCCTTACTAGTCCAACATGGGTGCTAGTGAGGAACAATTTGGGAACCTTTAGACACTGTCAATCCAAACTCAGCATATAATAAGCCTAGGAAACCAGCTTTACGTAGAGCCTTATCCACTTTCTTGTAGGAAATACCTAAGAATAAAAGTTGTGTATAATACAAAATAAAATAAAACAAAAAAATCTCAAAACTAAAAAACAAAAAATATTTTTTTCTTAAACCATATCCTCACACTAACTCAATTTTGTTTTATTTTCTTTTTCTTTTTTGCATTAATAATATCATACAGTTTTGCATCGAGATATTTACTCTAGGACATATTTTTCCTAAGAAGTTTTCATGGATCCTATAGAACTACAAAATTGCTCATCCTCAGTCAGTGTGCCATGTGAGCTGTATAATAAAGTACATCTTTGGTAAGAAAAAGTTCAACAAAAGAATGAAGATTATTTGCCTATTAGTTATATGTCTGAATTACTCGAGAAAGTGCATTTAGATCTCACACAAAATGATTTAAAAGAGTTAGCTGTTGTCTGAGGTCAGTTAAGTGAAGAAAAATGAAAAAAGCTTTTACAAAAAGAACATACAGATTGCATCCATCATTTCAGTAGTGATTGATGAACAGCTGGTCA